GCCCAATTTGGTCTGGGCCCGAGGTGGGCTTAATAGCCGGCGACTGCTGTATTTCTCTTAGACATCATGTACACAGAATGCAGTTTTAAAACCCTGAAGTCAAGTGTAACTGCCGATAAAGTTCAGCATTAATGGGCAATTTAAAGAGCTTTTTAAACCTAAAGTTGCGATTTCTCCAAGTACAAAACTTGAAGAAAGCAAAGTTTACTACTAAAAGAGTAAATTGGAGAATACTTTGGTATATGTTTTTTTATGAAGCATATTTGAATTTACAAGTGTATCTAAAATCAGTGAGAAAGATGCGTACTACTTGAAGAAGCCATTGATTACCCAGCGTACTTTTTTGCAGGGGGTCAGAATGAGGCTCGTTTAAAAGACGCCCCCCTGACGTGACCAAAAAATACCTTGGCATTATGTTGCATGATAATCAGTTTGACAGCGCAACTTATGTTTATTTTAGAATTAACTTACCACTTCAGAATTTTGGTTGACATTTCATAGAATAGAGAATCGACTCTAGCAGCTAAAGAAAATTACAGGCCGGAAGTCCAGTGTGTCTTAGTGCGCGAAGTGGCTTACTGCGGGCTGAGAGTCAGGCTCGATGTCTTCTTCGTAATGTGGCCTTTATGGCGTTCCCAAGTGGGAGCCTACCTAGCAAGGTGGTTTTATTGTGGCGCGTGTCTGAGTGTGTTTCGCGCAAACCACTTGCGCCCACCCCCATCTCCAGTCTTCTAGACTCTTGTCTTGACACCGGGTTCCGGTGTGGGAGTGGTGAGAGAGTAAGGGAGAATCCCTGCAATTCTACCCTCAATATAATCCCACGGGATTCACCGCTTTGCTTGAGCTTGCTCAAGCTCGTGGTGGGCCTCGTCGAGAGCGACAGTCGAACTGTTGTTTCTGCTCTCAGGTGGTGGTCAGGATCGTCATTGACTGAATAAAAGCAGGAAGAGCTCAAACCCGTTCTATAGCAAGCTACTCATATTCTCTATTGTCTCCCTTCTCTCCAACATCAAGTGTCTACCAAATGTTTATGGATTTTTGGCTTTGATTCAGACCCAGAATGACCTTTAAAAGGCTGCCAATGTACATATGGTTGTAATATTGCCCTTCTATCCCACCTTTCGTCATTTTAGCACTGTGTCTTAATTGTGTTTATTATTTTAAAAATCTTCTCACCCGTCTCGCGCCGCTTGAATATGCCAGCTTGACAAGTTTAAACGTGAACTGCACATCTCACCAGGGCAAATAGCACCGGCTGTGGAGTCTGAATGATTCGCTCTCCATGTTTTCCAACAGAGCGTGTAAGTGTGCCGAGCGGAGCCCTGCCATCTGGTTTCACGTCTCGTGGCAGCGCACGGACCAATCACCGACTACTCAACTGCCTTCTTTCAGGCGCATCTTCTAAAGTGAGCAGCAACCACATATGTCATTGGTTTTGTGTACTCGTCTAATTGCCGAGCTGCTGCTAATGCTGCTGCTGCCTCTGACAGTGTGCTCTGCCCCCAGTAAGAGATTTTGCACAAACAGACTGTTGGATCTTTTTTCCTTCACGGATAAACCTATCATTAAGAGCATTTATGCACTATGCTGCCCTCCGATGGAACTTTAGCGCGAGTTGTAATGCTTGTGGGCCTGCTGATATTCCCCCTTCTCGTACTCACTCAGAAACTGCGAATGATGAACGCAGAAAGGGTAAGTTCTTACGTGAACCGACTTTGAATCGCATTTAACACAGCCAACATCAGAGACTGTCTGAGTGTCCTATTGGTGGTTCAGAATCTTACATCGGTAGACTAGTGGGCCTGAAAATAATGCGCTCAGAAGCTCACATGATGTCTATTCCATATTTCGTTTACAGTACTGTCGGCAGGAATAAATATAGAGGCCGCCTAACGGTTAAATGAGTTGCTCTAATTGTGTTATAAGTCTGTAAGCTTGCTTTGTTAACCAATAGGAGTTGTTTTTATAGTTTTCTCGTCTATAGGCTTCCTTTGCAGACCAATAGGAGCTTCTTCTGGTCTTTTTTGTTCCTTTCGCATGCTTTTCACCCAAATTTTTAGTCCCGTTAATCAATTACAAGGGACTTTATCTTATTTTTACTGCGCACTCACCCCGCATTAAACACGCATTAATTGCTCTTTAATCAGGCATTAGACCTTTAACCACGAAGTGCGTCGCATACTTCGGCTGGAAGACTTTTGTAATTGGGCGGCCCTAAGATTTATTCCTACGGTACTGTCCTTAGGGCGGGCACTGGCCTGTATTTACTGTTTTATCTTGAAGGGAGATATTAGTAAAACAAGTGAAGGGCGAGAATGGTCCCTGTCGGCGTGAGGCTCATCGCAAGCCGTACCCCAATCGCAGCCACTAAAGTCTTAGGGGGACCTGTTGCAGTGGCTTAAGTTAATGGGGAAGACCCTCGCCACTGTGCTTTTCGCACGGGAAGAAGCGAAGTAGGACGCCAAGCAGAAGGAATAGTATATTCTGTACAGAACTAGTGATGATGGCTTGGAGAAAGTCGACAGTCGGACGAGCATGTCTCTGCACCCGCCGAGTGCAACGTCTGAGGTGTGAGGGCGCGGGAATCATTACAGCATCTACAACGTGGTCATGTGTGAGTCAGCCTCAGGGAGATG